AGTCCAGGCCAACCTGACACTTTTTATATGCAGCCTTACAAATCCCACTGACTTTTATTGTTAGAAAACCTGCCACGTTTGGGGCCATGGTATGCATAAGAACTGAAAAGTAAGCATAAATATAATTAAAACCAAAAACTCACTACTGGAGGAAATAAACCAGTGGGAGCCTTCAGGTCAATACTTCTCAATTATAAAAGAGTTTATGCAGATTACTGAGAAGTGCAGACAGCTAGATTTAAGAGACCTAGGAAAATCTTTCTTCTCTTGTCAAGACTTGTTTACAGCCAGGTTTATTTTAGTGTAGAGTTGAAACACATCACTAAAGGCTTTTTGTAAAAGTGCTTTAATGCAGAAAACTTAGGGTAACTTCACTTCAAGTGTGGGAATCCTTCCACCTTGAATTTCTCCAGATCTAAGTTTCATATGCATTTATATGGAAGTCATGTCTCACATTACACATTCGTGATGATTCTGCACACATTTTAGAAGCTGTTTTAAGTGGCACTTCTGGAATGAGCAGGGAAATCTCTGCAGGCATTAACAACCCCACTGCGTGCAAGAGAATATAAATGCTGGTATTGATAGAGATTCCTTTTAAAAAGAAACAGAAATGATATTTAGGAAACTTTAGGAACAGAAATGATATTTAGGAAACATTTATTATTTGACGAGGGAAGAAAATGTTGTTTGGAATTAAATAAGTGTAATGCTTTATGATCCATCATGGCACACCTACCTAACCCAGGGATCTCCAAATGTGGCAACTTTTAAGACTTGTGGGCATCAACTCCCAGAATTCCTCCAGCCAGCATGGCTGGCTTGATAATTCTGGGAGTTGAAGTCTACAAGTCTTAAACTTGCTGCATTTCAGACACTCCTGACGTAACCTTTAAATGGTTAACAGAAATGCTAACAGAAATAGTTTCTTGCTATCATTCAGGGCAAGAAAGAAAGGGGAAAAAAAACCACTGCTCCAATTGTAATTTAATTCAGCTATTTCAGAAAATACCCAAGGAAAAGGATTTTTTTTTCCATTTTGTTTAAAAGCCTGTAAAATTCCTCCAGTCTGCTTTCATGAGATATGGAATTGGCTTATTCGTACCTCATCCGTGTTGTAGATGATCTGCAGGCCAGATGAAATCATCTCCACCAGGTAGAGTAGGAAGAGGGATACAGCATTTATCTGGATGGAGGGAAAAGGAAAAGATAAAAGAAATAATCCTGTCAAAAGAAGAAAAAAATTAGCCAGCACATACTGTGAGGCCTGCAGTGTGTGTGTGTCTGGTAAAACCAGAAGGAATGAAAATAACAGGTGTAAAATGGAAAATAAATGCACGAATCTAGAAGAGGTTGATAACCCCTCAATGGGCTCAGGAGCTGGGAGCTTCCTATTATAATTTTTGCATGTCCCTGAGTTGTAATGACAGGATTGTTGTGGTCTGCTGGTGGCCTGAGGAGCTGGCAGCAGAGTTGGACAGTGGAGAGAAACATGGGCCAGTCCTGGAGCCTGGGAAGGGCTCAGATGATGGATCTGCATCCGACACAGAGATGAGGCCAGGGCCATCTGGGAGTTATGGGCTGACTCCAGAGCTTCCAGAGTCTGACAGAAGCGAGGCAGAGGAACAGGGGGAGCCTGTTCCCAGTGCGTGCTTGCGCAGAGCTGCCAGAAGGCAAGAACAGTTGAGACAAAAAGAGCAACTCAGAAGTAAGGCTTGGAGATGATCGGCCCCTCCCATAAGACATAAAGGAGGAGCAAAGGGACATGAGCCTTTGCAGGAAGCAACTTTGTTCGTTCTGGTCAGTTTAAACTCTGCAGCTCTGTGTTGACTTTGTGCTCTGTTTGGCCTTGTACAGCTAATTGGCAATTTAGTCGTTGGCATCATTTCAAGGGAGATAAAGTTGGGTGCTTATCAGTCTTATCCTGTAAGACTGTGGCAGACCTCTGTTGGACTCTTCACAAATTGTTTGGGACTCATTATTTCGGGTTGTGAATAAATACGATTCATAGCCATTGAAATTTTTTTTAAAAGGGCGGGGGGGGGGGCTTTGAGACTAAGCATGTGATTGTTGCTGTCTTAGGAAGCCTTGGTCAGAACAATGAGTCCATGGGGAAACCAGATTCACTTAACAACTGCAGTGATCCACTTAACAACTAGGGCAAGAAAGGCTGTAAAATAGGGCAAAACTCACTTAACCAATGTTTCACCGAAATTTTGGGCTCGACTATGGGTCTACCTATAATCCAATCCAAAGGAAATCTAATCCGTCGGTCCTCAAAGGAAGCGAGAAACACCCCTGGGTGAAAATTATACAAAGAAAAAGATTAGCAGCCAGAGAAGTCCTCCATCTCTCTTGGTGAAGGTCTCCTGCAGTAGGGAAATCTTCGTTTGCACCATCTTCACCATTCTGATACGTAAGATTTGAATTACGTTTATGAAAAACAAGCTGTTTTTCTGCTGTTGACATAATTATCTCCTGGATGCCAGCCTCATCTGCTACGGCCGTTTTTCTAAACAAGATTATTATTGCTTGGGAAATAATGTCAAAGGAAACAACAGGACATCAAAAGACGGCCCACATCACAACACACCGGAATGACAACCGTTCACCTGATAAAGAATCAAAAAGCCTTCCAAATGAAATTCTTCAGTTCTCTTCTCTTTCAAGGAGGCAAGCCATAACAACATCACGATGGTTAAACAACTGCCTTGCCACAGCAATTTCCCATGATAACATAAGCAATAAAAATAGCGTTGGAAAAAAAAAACTAGGTTCCCCAAACCAAAAGCAGTCATAGCAGTTAATTAATTTGTGATGTGATGCCTAAAATTCATCAAACTGCACAGCTCCAAATCCAAACTATGCCCAGCAGGCAATACCATTGTTGTATTATAATGTACAATATTGTATTTAACAGATTGACAGAATTGGAAGGGAACTGTCATATTCCTGTCGGAGTCTGAATCCTACGAGGAAGACAAACAGCTGACAGGGAGTGAGAGTTTGGCTCCATTGGCTGTGGAGGAAACTGCAGAAGGGCAAAGTCTGGCTGGGCAGAGCAGGGAAGAGGTAGAACAAGGGAGAGGGAGTTCAGTGGAAGACCCGTGCCCACCCCCTCTTCATCCTAGGGCATGCAGGGAGGAACAGAGAAGAGAGCAACGTGGGTTGCATGACTTACGGAGGAGGAAAGGGCCCTGATTCCCTTCATTAGCCACAGCTGAGATAATCAATTAATAAATCAATTTAATTTTCTCTGAGATGCGGCTAGAGACTTTTGATTTGAATGGGGGTGGATTTGTTGGAGCCCTGACACACAGTTCATCTAGTGACAATTCAAAGTTACAACGGCATTGAAAAAAGTTTCCATACTTAGGACCATTGTAGCATCCCCATAGTCATGTAATCAAAATTCGGATGCTTGGCAATCAACTCATATTTAGGATGGTTGCAGTGTCTCCCTGGGGTCACAGGATTCTCCTTTTGCAACCTACTGACCAGCAAAGTCATTAGGGAAGCCAGATTCAACAGTTGGACTAATAGAACAACTGCAGGGACTCGCTTAAACCATGGTGGCAAGAAAGGTCCTAAAATGGGGGCAAACTCACTTAACAAATGTTTCACGTAGCAACAGGAATTTTGGGGTTCAATTATGGGGTTGTAAGACGAGGACTACCTGCACTGAAATCCCAGGTAAAATTGACATCTGATAATCCAAAATCCGGCACCTGCAGTCAGTTCTGACCAAGGCTTATGGAGACACTAACAAACACACATTAGTTCCCAAACTCTTGTTTCTTTATTTCAATGGCTGTGAATTTTAGTCCTTCAGAATAATTCTGATAAACACACACCTTTATCTTCCTTGAAATGCTGCCAACGACTAAATGTCCAATTAGTTATATAAGGCCAAAATGGAACACAAGTTCAACACCGAGCTTCAGGTTTCAAACTGACCAGTACCAGCAAAGTTGCTTCCTGCAAAGATTCCTGTCCCTTTGCTCCTCCTTTATGTCTCCTGGGAGGGGACAATCACCTCCAAGCCTTACTCCCGAGTTGCCCCGTTTGTCTTAACTGTTCTTGCCTTCTGGCAGGTCTGCGCATATGCACACTGGTACCAGGCTCCCCTTGCTCCTCTGCCTCACTGCTGTCAGATTCTGGAGGCTCCGGAGTCAGCACATAACTCCCAGATGGCCCTGGACCCATCTCTGTATCAGACGCAGGCCCCTCGTCCGAGTCCTCCCCGGACTCCTGGACTGGCCCATGTTCCTCCCCACCGTCCAACTCTGCTGCCATCTCCGCAGGCTGCCCACGGACCACAACAGAAGGAAAGAAAACTAAGAATTAAATTAAAAATCAATTAACTTTTAATTAAGTGGCTGGCGGTGTTCTGGAAGGTGGAATTGATTCACCAAGCATAACAGAGTATCCAGATCAGCAATTCTTAAAATCAATCTGCAAACATATTTCAAGGTCTGCCTTCACAAATCCAAGCTTGTTGCATTTCAAAGACAGCGACAATTCATTTTGGCCATTACCTTGGTATTGTTTACACTGAATTATAAAGCAACAAATCAAGACTACAAAACAGCATGCTGTTGGTGGGTTAAAAGCAGGAAAATCAATTTGTCAAGCTCCATAATTGAGGACATTTTAAAAGAATGGTAGCCTTTAACTAAACAGCAGGAAGGAAATATTCAAACTCACTCTAGCTCTGTAATAGATTTAAGAAACAAAGGTACATTATTTTGTACCTGTAGATGACCATATTCCTCATGAGAAAAGACCTCATCACCTGTGTGGATGTTGAACACAGAATGCAGGCATTTGGAAGGCTTAGGATCTTGCTTATATTGTTGAACCTGGAGGGGGAAAAAAGATTACACAAACATTTGAATGAGTCAAACTACGAACATGAAGTATCATGAGCCACTAAACATGACCAGAGTTGGATTTCTAAGAAAAGCGCCATGAGTTTTGCAGCAGGACTTGTTACATTTATACTTCTTCTTGGCAAAACGTCTGGGTTTAAAACTGCTTCCCAGAAGGGTAGATTGTAAAAGCACCATGTTCTGTAATATAAATGCAGCAATGGAAAACACAGTATTGAACCAAAGGCAATTTCTTCTTTCTTGCAAATATTATGTTTTGTTTTGTTTTTTGCTTTGTTTTTTTTTTTAAAAAAAAACCTTTTTCCTGGAGGGATATCAAGAGGAAGGGAATCCTGCTGTTACTTTGCACATTTTCATCTTGGCACTTATGAAAGAATGGTGAATACAAAAATGTCTTTTTTATCTAGAGAGGACCAAGTCTTCCCTCATACAGAGTCTAGAGATTCTCAGTCCTCCAGGTCATGGTTGTCCTAAAGGTGCTTTTTTTTCAAGAGGCAACCGGACTTTCTTGCTTTTTCTTTGAAGGCGTTTCATTTCTTGTCCAAGAAGCTCGTTCAGTTCTGACTGGAAGGATTTTACTCCTTGCAAAGAGCAGATCATTTGCATTCTTTTTAGAGAGCCGTTGAGGCCACTTGGAGTTTTACCTGTTTCCTCGGGGTCACCTGAATAGCACAAAATGGTTTCCTGTAATCTGCAATTTTTCTTTGCACTACTCAGGCAACCCTGAGGACACAGATGGCCTCAAGGACTCTAAAAGGATGCAAATGACCAGCTGTCTGCCAGGAATATAAATCCTTCCATTCCCCACCATCCAGTCAGAGCTAAAGAAGCTTTTTTGGGACAACCATGGCCTGGATGACTGAGAATCTCCATAGACCTTCAGCCATGCACTTTGGGATGAATCCCCTTTCAGTGGCGTGGGATTATGAATGGATTTCCAGAAAAAAATACAGCCATTTTTGCTTTTAAAAAGACCCGTGCTTAGGGAACAATGCTATACCTTCTCACAAATACCCAAGGATGTTTACAGCAGAAACTCAATGCCAGCCATCAAAAGAAAAGCCGTATCACATAATTAGAGCAATATTAACACAATCAGGCAGCAATGCGAAACCGCTTACAAAAGGCAGTATAGGAAACCATTAAAACGACAAGAACCAGAGTTATAACTATTTTCCTGGGCAATGAACGTTTCTCTGTTCACCAATCAGAAATATCGCTTCGTAATGGGATTCCACACGCGTGTCACTCGCCACGAGACCGTCGTGATTCACTGCTGTCCTTTGCACACACTTTGATCTGCAGTGTTCATTCTGGAAACCCCAGAGGGATACAGAAGCCATCAAGGGGCTTGTCTGATTGTTGTCGCCAAGGAGATTGGCGGTTATTACTTTTGGTGTTGGACTTTTATCCCTGTAAGTCACTGAGTGTGAGTCAGCAGCCATATCCATTTCCTTAAATAAGCCATAAAAATAAATACATTAATTCTGTTCTAAAGCTCCCACCTACAACTATGCGTTCCTACCATACTGTCACCCCAGAACCTCACTGCTTGCAGGACCTCCAGTCCACGTTTCCCATCATCTATCTGGCTATTACTTGGGTCAGCCTGTCACCCTATCTCAATTACCATCAGACCCAAAAGCAATGAAGTGATCTGAGGATTTGTTTTACAATTCAGAACCACAAAGCAGGAAACCAGAGAGTAGCTTTCGTGTACATATTTTTATATCTATCTGTTTCTGCCTGCCTGCCTGCCTGCCTGCCTCTCTCTCTACCTACCTACCTACCTACCTGTGTCTCCCTGTATCTGACTTTCTGCCTACCTGACTACCTACCTGTCTGCCTCTCTACCTACCTTCCTATGTCTGTGTTTCTGTCTGGCTCTGCTTCTCCATCTACCTACCTATTCTGTCTGTCTCTCTATCTGCCTCTCTGTCTACGTACCTACTTACCTGTGTCTTTCTGTCTCTATCTGCCTCTCTACCTCTCTACCACCCTGTGTCTGTCTCTTTCTGTCTGCCTCTCTACCTACATACCTGTGACTGTGTTTCTCTGTCTCTCTCTGCTTCTCCATCTACTTACCTACCTATCTCTGTCTGTCTCTATCTGGGTCTCCACTTACCTACCTGTGTCTATCTGCCTCTTTACCTACCTACCCTTCTTGTGTCTGTTTGTCTATCTGCCTGTCTACCTACCCACATACCTACTTGTGTCTGTCTGTTGGTCTGTCTCTCTCTCTCTCTATCCACCTCTCTACCTACCTACCCAGGGGTGGGATCTGACCGGTATAACTACCAGTTCGGTGATTTACGATTTGCTGCACGCGTGTGTAAATCGTCTTCAGCTTGCTGCCTGGACAGTTGAGCAGCACTGCGCACAGGTGTGCAGCAGTTAAAAAATGCCTTTTTCCTGCTTTTTCAACCTCAACTGTGCCGCGCAAAGCAGCTGAGGTTGAAAATGCAGGAAATAAAGGTCAGGTCAGAGCCTGGGTAGGCATGTGGGCCGAACAGCAGCAAACACAGAACCGGTTCATTGTCTGCTGCTCTTCAGAGCTACCGTTTCTATTGAGCCAGGCAGAACTGGTAGCATCCCACCCTGGCACCTACCCACCTCATACTTCTAAAACTCACATCGCCCACATATGTTTCTCCCATACAATTATATTTAAAATAGGCTCCTGAATCGTGGAAAGAAGATGTTAACCTTCTGATTTAAGTTTTCTTGTTTAAAAATGCCTTTAAAAGGATAAAAAGTACAGAAGGAGCAGGGTGACAACAGGGTGTTCTCAAGAACACCATGATGGGGATCTGAGTTAGGATATGTACAGTTTTGCAAACGGATTGGAAAGTCTGGAGTTTGGTGGCTGATAAATTCAAATAATAAAATAATAAAAATCCACGAAGGGTCTGGGTATGAGTAGGTTGAACCAAGAGTTGCTTGTGAACTTCCTTTTTGTGAGGGGAATGCAGCAGGGGGAAGAAATCTGCTTGAGGTTCAGAAGGAAAAAAAAAGATGAAGCTTCTTCAATTCTTAGCTAGAAGATCACCAGAGGACTCCAGGGCCATAGGCTGGACCTGGAAAGCCAAGAACATTCTGGAAGAAGGCAACAGCAAAATCCTTCAGGTTCGTGTCACGAAAATGCCATGGGCCTACCCTGAAGTTCCCAAGATATAAGGATGTCTTGAAGACTTCAACGGTTTTGGTATACTCCAGCATGTCTTTAAATGATGCCAAAACTAAATAATTTGAAGGTACTCCTCATCAATATTAAAACTTGAATTCTATAGGCACAGGATATTATTTTCTTCATCATAGGTTAGAGTTGGAGGATATTTTTGGCCATATTCTGAAAGTTTTGTTTTGTTCCTTTCTTAAAAAAAAAAAATCATTGGTCCATCTCACTTTTCTTTTCTTTCTTTTCTGCTTTTCTTTCATCAATTCCACTTTAATTTGTTTTCTCTTTTGTGCCAGAGCTGCACTACAAAATAAGAGGTGACAGACTCTGCCTGCCATTTCTGTAAGTTCAGGTGCTGAGGTGTTGAAAAGGTAGGTTTGTTTCATCACACCTGCCATCCCAAATATCAGGAGAATAACGCTGAGTAATTGCTGGCATATGTCTCCTTGTCAGTATTGGAGGAGGAAAAAAAAACAGAAACATCATAGATAAATCAGTAGCAAATTTTACAGGTTAGCATCTGCTACCTATTGTTCGTTCTTATTTCCCTTTGCTTAGCATTGTGCAACATCAAGAAAAAATAATTTACTATGCCAAAAGAAATTTTAAACTATGATTAGCTAGAGGTTGAAAGCTAACAGAAAAACAAGGTAGCAGAACTTACTTACCAGTGTTGACTGAGTTTTTGTTTAAGCAAAGCACAACATACCCGTATTTAATATCAAACCTTTGTGCTCTTGACATGGGTCAGGAAAATAAAATGAAGCTATCAAGGTGTAATGATCAGGTATATTAAACTACTTCTTCAAAACCCATCAGATGTGTGGAGATGAGCTGGGTTTTTATGTGTCTGCACTGACTGGCACCATTAACACAACTACACATTTTGGAATGAGATTACCTCTATTGTAGCACAATGTTTGAAAAGATATTTCATGATAATGATCCGTGATGTCAAGGCTAGATAGACAAATTATATAGGACTGTTAAATAGCCCTGCCATCAAGCGAAAATATTAACTTTTATATTTGTTTGGTATTCTGATGCCTTCCTTCTGGGCACTGTATTCTCATCCAAGATGCCTATTTCAAAAATGGGATCCTGTGGTGCACTGTCAGCTCAAACAATCTTATTTCCATGTAGATCTTGCTTTCAAACAAAATCCTCTGAAAGGATGTCATTAGGGAAACTCATCTAAACAGGAACATTTCGTTTTTCTGCGCTCCTGCCTCGACTAAGAGAGGCACCTTGGCTAAAATGAAATCTGAAACACGATTATCTAAGACATTTAGTGACCGTTCAAAGTTATAACAGCACTGACAAAAGTGACTTATGAACGTTTCACACTTATGACTGCTGCAGCATCCCCCAGAGCCACATGATACAAACTAGTTCATGTTTATGATGGTCGCCATGTCCCAGAGTCACATGATCCTTTTTGGCGACCTTCTGACAAAGAGAGTCCACGGTGAAGCCAGATTCACTTCACAACCGTGTTGCTAACCTAACAACCGCAGTGATTCACTGAACAACTATGGCAAGAAAGGTCGTAAAACAGTGCAACATGCACTTAACAAATGTCTCACTTAGCAACATGCATTTTGGGCTCCATTGCCGTTGTAAGTCAAAGACTTCCTGTATGCCTTCCCAACAACAATAGATCAACCCGCAGTCTCCGGTTTGCCCCGGGTTCAAGTTCTAAATGTAATTAAAAGAGGGCTTGATTTTAAATAGTTGATTTACTATGCACCTGGATGAGGAGGAATAGAGGGAATGTCTCAGCTTGGGATGGATGGTGATTGGGGCATGTGATGCGATGATGGGAGAAGATCCGTGATAAGGTCAGAGTTCCAGAAAACCTTGACTCCAACAGATAACTTTGAACCAGACATATTTTCAAAGTTCCCTTTTATTAGAGTAGTAAACTAGCACATCTGGGAAATCCCAAATCTGAAAGTTCCGGGTTTCCCCCCAATAAGTAAAATTTTACAGATCCATTCCCTTCCCCCATCACATGCCCCAATCACCATCCGTTCCAACTTGGGACATCTTCTCTACTCCTCCTCAGCCAGGTGCAGGAACAACATGACCTTGACTCTGATGAAGAATGCTATTATGTCTAATCACATCCACTCCATGCAATTCCCCCCTCCCATATTCCCAGGCTCAAGAATGTGGCAGCATGGAAGCTTTTGGTGCTAATATGGCTTCCAAAGCTGACACACGTGTCTTCATCTGTGGCTTTTAACTATATGATTGGCCAGAGCCTAGAAATAAAACTTTTTCTGGCAGCATGCAAACTGGCGTCACTTCTATGGTCCTTTTAATTTGTTTGCATCTGAAACATTTTTTAATGTTTACAATTAACTTAATCCTTGAGAATTAAGTGTCTGCTTTCGTCCACGATGCAACGTTTTACCTTATCAGCCTGACGCATGTAGCAGAAGAGAATTCCTCGCATGCATTTTATAGCAGAATGCTCCAGTTCGTGGGTTCGTCCCTTGTCGTCATCAATACGCCTGAATAAGAGAGATAATCCATTAAACAAATTAGAAATCCATTCAGAAGGAAGTTGAAAGCACCTGTATCCATCACCACCCCTTTTTTTTTTATAATTAAGTATTAAGGCTGTTTTGATACAGTGGCATGAACGAACTTGAAGATTCTCCGGCCCGATCAACCTTTCTAGAATAAAGCCAACTCTTTGGGGAAAAAAAGAGTCAACAACTAAGCCAACAATGAAGTGCGGGTTCATAAAACGAAGACAAGTCAGTCTTGCAAAGAAATTTTTGTTTCCCTCCGTCTTCCTATTTTAAAGAATATACGGAGATATCATTATGAGCTGTAAAATGGAAAAGAAGAAAATTACTTGACAAATGTCTGTGCAATAATGATGCTTGAAATTGATTTTATTTAAGGACGTTTAGATGGCTGCTCAACTCATTCTCAGCGACTCCAGGCTGCTTATAAAGATTACAAATTATCACATAAAAAACAATAAATTATGATTAAAACCCCACTTTCCAGGGTGACAACAACCAGTCAAACAAGCCACTTGATGGGCTCCATCCCACTCTGGGTTCCCCAAGTCCATGGCAAAACCAGGTCTTCAGGGCCTTGTGAAAGGGTGAAAAAATGAGAGCCAATCTTATTTCTGCAGGGATGATATTCTACAGGGAGGGAGCTACCACAGAGAAGGCCCTTCGTCTTGGTCCCACTAGATGTAACAGATAACAGATAATCAGAGTTGGAAGGGACCTTGTAGTTTATCTCATCCAACCCCCTGCCCAAGCAGGAGACCCTACACCACTTCTGACAGATGGGAGTCCAATCTCTTCTTGAAAGTCTCAAGTGATGGCGCTCCCACAACTTCCGAGGGCAACTTCTGTTCCATTGGTTGATTGTTCTCCCTGTCAGAAAGTTTCTCCTTATTTCCAGGTTGAATCTCTCCTTGTTCAGTTTCCATCCATTGTTCCTTGTCTGGCCTACAGGTGCTTTAGAAAATAGCTTGACCCCTTCATTTCTGGGCAGCCCCTCAAATATTGGAAGACTGCTGTCCTGCCTCCCCTGGTCCTTCTCTTCACTAGACTAGCCAGGCCCAGTTCCTGTAACTGTTCTTCATATGTTTTAGTCCCCTCATCAACCTGGTTGCTCTTCTCTGCACTTTTTCTAGAGTCTCAACATCTTTTTTATAGTGTGGTGACCAAAACTGGATGTAGTACTCCAGGTGTGGCTTTACTAAGGCTTTATAGAGTGATATTAGTACCTCACCTGATCTTGATTGTATCCCTCTGTTAATGCAACTTGGGATTGCATTAGCTTTTTGGGCTGCTGCTGCACATTGCTGGCTCACACATGTACTTCCTTGGGAGAAAGGGCCCACAGCATTCCTTGCCATTGTCTGATAAGTCAGCTAGATGTGACCAGGATAAGACAGCCCTTCAAATATTGCTAATTTTGCTAATAACTCTTTCACAAGGCCACATTTTGTTCTTTGTGGGAGTCCTCAGGTACTGTATACATAGCCACAGATCTTTCTATGAGGTTCAAACCTTCCCCTAAAGATTGGTCTCATGGACCACCAATTTTTAGATGGCTGTTTACAGTGCAATAGCTTTGGGACTGCTGCAGGCTCAGGTGTTCGGGAATATCTTAGGAAGTGACATATACAGTCTGTATTTCTCAGGGTGTATGGTCAATGTCTTTTAAGCTTGACAATTTGAACTCTTAAAGTTGTGCTGGCTGGGAAATTCGGGGAGTTGAAATCAACGCATCTTAAAGTTGCAAGGGTTGAGAAATACAGCTACATACAGCCTCCTTTAAATCTTTGCCTCATTTAAATCTTAATTTTCATGTACTGTTTTTAATCTTTTTTTTTTTTGTACATCGCCCAGAGTTTTGTGAAGGAGATGGATGGCTCCAAAATGCAATGAATGAATGAATGGACATTCTTAAAACTCTCTGGTTCCACCGAAGAGAGACTGGATGCAGTAGGAATCACTTTCAAGCATACATAAAATTGGCATCAATTGATTTTGTTTTACCACTTTAAAGGCTCTTTCCTCATATTACAGATACTCTTTATTGAATCATTAATCCCTTCTTTCTTCTTTTAAATTTATTCCCGCTAGAGTTTTGTGAATTTTTAAGAAATACATATGGTTAATGAGCATTAAAAAAACCCTAAGCATTCACTGCCTTTCAAAAAAAAACCCATTAATCACAAACCTTCAGAGCAGAAACATTATTAATAACAAAATCAATGATCAGAAGAGATGACACAATAGAAGAAGATTCAGAAGCAAATTAATAAAAAAAACCTCTCTACAGGAGCATTTTAAAATAGACAGGCTATAATAAAAAAAGCATCTTGCTTCTTGTGTGGGGATCATTTTTCCCTCAATGTGAAAGACAGATCATTCAGTGGGAGTCCCATCAATCCAAAAAAATGGATGAAGTTTATTAATGCTGTTTTCCAATGCTGTCTATATGTAAAAGAATGTTAAGTCCCAAGTCCCCAAAAGCTAAAGCACTGAACCAAGGAGCACAAATAACTATTAGAAAGATTCCCTAAGATCTGCATCGATCTTCAAAACTTGAGATCTCATACTGTCAGGGTGAAAGAGACAAACATTTCAATGACCAAAAAGGTGTCAAGCCCAGGGAAACCGGAAAATTCAGGCAGTTTAAATGAATATAAGATTTATTGGAAGCTTAAGCTCCCCCCAAAAATTGAAACTAAATTGAAACAAGGTTGGAGGGCAAACCACTGCCAAAAGCTTAAGCTCTCTACAAAAATCTGACTTACTAAAGGTCAAGGGAAATAAGCAGGAATTAAGAAGGCAGTCAAGATGGGCACACAGGGACTCGTGACTTATGACAGGTTTAACCCCTCCATCAACAATTTCAAGATGTGCATATAAGTAAAGGCAATGGAAGCCCTAGCACTCTTTTTAATCTGATTTTTAATATATTCCGCTTAACACGTCTATTGCCGAGTGTTTTTATAGTAGTCCTAAACACAGACAAATTAAATTAAAGATATACATTTTGCAAGTTGACATTTCCCGACTGCAATTCAGCAGAACACCTTAGGTATTCATTAACCATTCACTGGTTAAGAACAGTGGGGCTTCGATTAGCAGTTACCAAGGGTACTTTAGGCAAGCACCTATCATTAGGGGGGGAAATGAATAGGAAAAGCTTTGAAAGGAGATTAGTCTCAGCAAGAAAAAAAATAATTGTGAGGGGAGAGGGGGAAAAAAGCCACTTGCAAATCAGTATTTCGAATGAAGGCAGTGGGGGAAAAAGCTATCCAGCTTTCAAAACCAGCAGAGAACACTAAACCAAAATGAAAGCTAGCCTTCACTGAAATAAGAAACTTTCTAACAGTGAGGACAATTAACCAGTGGAATGGCTTGCCTTTAGAAGTTGTGGGTGCTTCATCACTGGGCAGTCACTTGTCTGAAATGATATAGGACCTCCTGCTTAAGCAGGGGGTTGGACTAGAAGACCTCCAAGGTCCCGCTCTGTTCTGATTGAGCCAGTTGGTGAAGGTGATGACTGAGGAACTAGGAGCCAGGGAGTTCTAGTCCCACCTTAAGCATGGAAGCCAGTTGTTGGACTTTGGGCCCATCCGCAGGAAACAGTGAGTTCTGGTCCCACCTTTAGGCATGAAAACTGGCTGGATTGCGGTGGGCCGATCACTAGGAGACTGTGAGTTCTAGTCCTGCCTTAGGCAAGAAAACCAGCTGGTTGACTTCGGGCCAATCGCCAGGAGACACAGTGAGTTCCAGTCCCACCTTAAGCATGAAAACTGGCTGGGTGATCTTGGCCCAGTCCCTCTGCCTCAGCGCAATTCACCTCACAGGAGTTTTTGTCATGGGCAAAACAGGAGGAAGAAGGAGCATTATGCTTGTTTGCCACCTTGAGTTACTGACGAAGTAATAGAGGCAATAAAATAAAAGGAAGGAATAAAATAAAATAAAATAAAATAAATTAATTTAAAATAATAAAATAAAATAAACAAAATGAAATAATAAAATAAAATAAACAAAATGAAATAATAAAATAAAATTCAATTAAAATAAAATAAAATTTAAAAAAATAAAGCCAAGATCATCTGCACCGCACTAGAAAGACTGCGCATCAAAATGAAATTATAAATGACTCTTGGAAGGAAAGAGCCTGGAGTAAGGAAAATAAATGGTTTCTCGGGCACTGCCATATGGAAGATGGAAAAAATAATAATTAACTAACCCCGCAAAGGATTATGGGGTCATTAAAAAAAGATGATGATGATGATGATGAAGAGAAAGGCAGAAAATGTTAAAAGACACCAAAGACCTCTGAAGTTGTTGGAAAAAGACCTAAGTAGCCAGTTTAAAATTCCCAATAATTGCTGTTAAATTCCAACGTAAATCTAACACACTTGGTCTAAAAACACGCTGATGTTCAGACAGAAAAGCATTTAAAACCTCACTAAGTTCCGTCCAAGAATGGTAATAACCCTGTCAGAAGGAATTAAGTACTGTAGCATGTACTGTGAATCGATCAGCTTTTTAAAAGGCACTATGTAAAAAATAGTCTTAACCAAATCAAACCCACTGATTTCAGATAACACATTACATTCATGCAAGAAAATGCGAGCACAGAATGCCAAAGAAAAGAGGCACCAGCCCGATCAAATCAGAAGACTCAGTGGGGACTTAACAACATTTTAAAACGGTAAAACCAACGATAGAAATTAAAAAAAAATAGTGTGTTTTGGGGAGACAAAATGCCATCACGCTGGCACAATGAGTGCCAGCACAGGTTGAATATAACCTATGCATTGCTCTGTTCTGCATCTATTCTCTTGTTTGGGTTAACGTTGCTTTTAAAATATTTCCTATCCGCTTTGTGGAAAGTTCAGACTGAGCACCAATGCATGGTAAAGCCCAGATTTTAAGGTATGTTCATCAGTTGCTATGGCAACAGCATCCTGCACTGAATCCTACTAGTGTTATAATTGACCATCTTTTATAGAAAAGGCAATTTTATATTTAATTATTCAGGGTGTCAAAAGTACTATCAATGATTTATTCCTTATTTATTCCATCATTTATTTATTTTCATTTAGTTCATTTATTTATCTTCTTTTTTTGCTCAGTTTTGTTCGGTTACTTGAATTTGTCGTTGTTGTCTTTGGAATCCTAGATGTGGGAACTATTGAGACAAAACCCAGAGAAAAAGATCTGTGCAATTCATAAAGCTATTCAGATATGCCAACCTCTCCCTATGACATTTTCAAAGAGCCATAAAAATATGGTTTGAGGATTGTTCAGCCCAGCTGAATGACACATCAAGGCCTTGTGGTTATTTTCTATCAATTTTTTTATATTTTAATTTTATGCAATTATTTCAATGCCACTCAAGAATCTTTGGAAACGGAGCAACATGCAAACAGAAGTAATTAGCAAACCTCTTTCAATTATTTCTTTCATAGAAAAGATAATTAAATGCATCACCTTCTTTTAACTAAAAAAGGCTTAACTGATTTGACATGGAAATACATTGACGGAGCCTATTCGTGTAGAAAGTAGTACGGCTGGTGTCTAGCCAGATAAATATAATGCAGAGAATTTGGCACTGGTGTTTTTTATTTCTCTGTTTTAATCATTGCAAACAGAAAACTGACCTACGCAGGACAAAATTTTCAGACCTTTTTCCACTGCTACCCTAGTTTTATACATTATTATAGAATGGTATACCTTTATTGTCATTGCATTCCACAAATACAATGAAATTTGAAAGCTATTCCAGCACAGACCCAAACACCACATCATAATCACACTACAGAGTTTTTTTAATAATAATAATAATAATAATAATAATAATAATAATAATAATAATAATAATAATATCGCAAATGCACTGTTTGATTCAAGACAATTACTGCCTTAGAAAATAAACTGTTTCTCAATCTATTAGTCCTCATTTTAAGACACCTATAAACGCCTCCCTGAGGGTAACAGATCGAAATATGAATGTCCACGATGAGAACGGTCTGTGGAGATTTTTAGTGCTCTAGAGAGGAGTCTGGTCTTTGCAATCTCTTCCAAACAAGAAAGAGAGCAACCGATGATTTTTTTGTGCTGCGTTTATAACTCTCTGGAGCATATAGTCACAGCACAAGACAGATCTCAATGAAAAGACATCAGTTTAAAGTAGACAAGTCCTTTTTGGCAATTTCAACCTTTTATTACCAAATCCTGTGGTTTATGCACAACTGTCAAGACAATTTCCTATGTTGCAAAGTGATTCTAGTACTTTTGAGCCAGTGTCACAATCCTTCTAGCAGCAGAATTGTCAAGAAGAAAGCTTGGGTGCACAGTTATAAATTACAATTGATCTAAGACAGGGGTGTCAAACTCGATTTCATTGAGGGCCACATCAGGTTGTGTTTGATTGTGGGTGGGGAAGCAGGCACATGGCCGGGGGCGTGGCCAGCTCAACGTCACTCATCAAGGCTTCATTTTCAACCGCAACATCCTTCTGCAGTTCTCTGCTGGCAAAAACAGAGCGTGCGGCGTCCCCGGGCCTCTGTTTTAACTGGCAGAGGGCTGCAGGAGGCCATTGCGGCCATAAACAGAGCTCGGGTGGGCCTTAAACAGCCTCCCTGAGCTCTGTTTTCACTGGCAGAGGCACCGCGGACTGGCCCTTCGCTGTTTCCAGGACGGCCCCATGGGCCAGCCCTGGCCCCCAACCCTTGAGTTTGACACCCCTGGCTTGATCTAAGAAATAATTGTCTTTTATTGGCAAGAATAATCAGCAGACTTTATTATTTGGACCACTGGTAAGCAATCCTTTGGGCAAAGCTTCTAGGATGATGATATATACAGAAGTACAAAATTAAAGATTACAATAAAAACAGAGGTCAGTTAAATATAAGTTAACGAAGAATGAAATCATGCCAAATTCTAAAACTAACTAATGCTAGGAAAAACCCAATTAGTAAAATATATACCAAGTTGAAAGATTTAAACTTAAGGTTTAGAACATAAGTCTGAAAACTAGAAGATGATATAGAAAATAATAAAAGATACAATCTAAAAAACTAGAAATAAATGCCTAGAAAACTAGAAAGTTTTGTTTGCCATTTATACAAAACAAACCTTCAAACAAAATTAAGTTGTTGTCAGAATATACTGACATACAATAGATAGTACAGCTCTATTTACTTTTAAGAGCTATATAATTAGGAAACAAATGGGGTTGATTGTTGATACCTGTATGGGAGTTCTACTGATTAAGTTATTCAAAAACAGCTAGTTTAATGTATCATCATAACACAAATATGTTCTATTTATGTTTTAACAAGCATTTTGAATAACTTGAAAGCATTTTTAAACACTAGCTTTTGTTATTTTACCTTAACACAGGTTATTTTAAGACTGCAGTACTCAAGGCAGGTGGGATGGTCATTCATTCTCTTCCTACAACGGCAGGATTGGCAAGACTAAAGAATTTGGTTAGAGGACATTGCCTATAGATAGTCTTCGACTTACAACAGTTCATTTAGTGACCGTTCAAAGTTGCAATGCCACTGGGAAAAGTGCAGTGGTTAGAACGCAGCATTGCAAGATAACTCACTGTTCGCTGCCAGGAGTTTGATTCTGATCAGGCTCAAGGTTGACTCAGCCTTCTATCCTTCCGAGGTTGGTAAAATGAGGACCCAGATTTTGGGGGGCAAATTCTAAAAATAGCCATTAGCCCGATCTCTTCACACAAAAACTAAGTCTCTGAGAAACACATTTGCAAGACTTGGCTCTGTTTTAATTCGTTGGCTGCTCCCTCAATGTTTGGCCTTGGGATTTAAGCGGAATATACAATTAGCGAGACAACATAAGACATCCTCCATTTACCTGTAGGCCAGGGCCAGGGCCCAGACGCACGCAGCACAATAAAGACTGTCATGAATCTTTGCTCTCGGATTGTCACTGCAGGTTTTTGTGGGGAAAAGACCAGTGGTCGGACTTTGGAAAACTAACACAGTTGCCTTGACTGCCAAGAGAAACAAAGAAACATACAGACTATTATCTAAAGCATTTTCAAACTTAAGCATCTTTTTTTTTGCCTCATGGAAAAAATAAAGCAATAAAGCAAAACTGTAGACAGGATAAATGAGAGAAAAACATAGAAAAACATACACATTTGAGAATGATGCTGGAAAAGCATTTACATTTTGACACCAACACTTAAAAAAAAACATGCAAAAGTAAAGTGAAAGGAACAGAAGTTTGAAACAACAGAAGCTGGTGAAATCAATCTGACAAATTTACCATCCACACTGCAGTGATGAGGACTTTCACACTTTCTTCTTCCCAAATAAAAACAGAATATTTCAGCATGCATTTGTTGCAAAGCTATCCTAAGAAACTAGACATGTGACAGTTTGATAGTATTTATTATTTGATGCTTTTGGTCTTACAGCCACATCTTTCCATCAAACATAAAACAAAATATTTAATAGTTTATAAATACTTTCAGTTATTAAACAGTAATCATTCAAATGTTATTGAAAGGAAAAAACTAATTATTGTCCATTTCTGATTAAACCAACCATTTTAGAGAAGTTTGCAAATCTCTCTCCTTTTGAAAATTATTATTATTTATTTGTTTAGGCTTTATATAAATCGAGGAGATTTTTATTAAATGGCATGAAGGAAGTCATCAATTGTTCTTGAGAAATTAAGGTCAAAGCTAAATATTCCACCAATCAGCCAATATTCCTTTTGAAAGTGATTTATAACTCCAACATGAGGAAGTAGTTGGGGGAAAGACAGTATTTGTTTTTTAAAACAAATCACAAACCAGGTTCAGAAGAAGAAAGTGCATTTCTTAAAATACAGCATTTCCCAAATAACTATATTCATTCCACCATTATGGCAAGCAAGATGGCATAGTTAGTTTCTTGTTTATTTTCAGAATAATCTTTTAAAAAAGTAACTGTATGGCCATGATCATTACTAATATTAAGCATCATGTGAAAATAATCTTGTCTACATGTAATTATTGAAGGAAACAAATCAACAGCAGCGCAATACAGAATATTTGAATTTTTTTATGATCCCAATTACATTTACTTTGCTCTTTCAATGTTCTCAAAGCGGAAAATAATTTTGTGTGGCTTACCTATACAATAGTAACGATCCAATTTATCCCACAGATTCTCCGCATCTGGTTTTAGCAGATTAATGCTTTTCATGGGCTCGTATACAGAGCCTAAAGGAAGAAATTAGGAGGCCTCAATTACAATCACAGCAAAGAAACAAAAACATTTGCTTCTATTTACTTCTATTGAGTTCAGTTATTATGCCTCACTTTTCCAAAAGGTAACCAGGAGAATCCACAGAAATAAAAACACAGCCTTCGGTTAAAATGGTGATTGTGTGGGGAAAAAAAGAGAAAACCCACTTTTTAGAATTCTTCTTTGCAGGAAAATACCCGGTCAGTATTTCCTGCATATTGAGAAATTTGGTATGAAGTATGAAAAACAACTTATGCAATCCAATCAAAACCAATTGAACCAATTCTGCACCAGCTTACAGTATGCAGTCAAGATGAATTAAAGAATAGCCGAGATGAAAAAGATTATGACTGAAGTGTCGAAGATCTAGAAAAAACTCAGAAAGTATCAGCAAATAATGCATATGTGGTGACCAATCTTGCAAAATAAATCTAGGGCGACTGTCGTGCATTCCAGGAGTTATTCTTTAATGCTCTCCATGCTCTTGCAATGTATAATGGCAACTTGTGGTAGAATGAGGAATCAATCAAGACACACTTGAATGTTCAGTTGATATGTCCCAAAGATGCTTTTTAAAAGGCAATTGGACTTTCTTGTTTTCTTTTCCCCTTGAAAATACTTTGCTTTTCACCCAAGAAGCTTCTTCAGTTCTGATTGAACACTTGGGAGTAGAAGGATTTATTTATTCCCCACCATTCGGTTAAAATCGAAGAAGCTTCTTGGATGAGAAGCAAAATGTTTTCAAGACAAAAAATAATAAAAGTCCAGTTGCCTTTTGAGTAAAGCACCTTTGGGACAATCATGACCTGGATGGTTGAGTATCTCCATAGACATTCAGTTGATTTGGTTCACAACGAGCTGAAACTAAATTTTCACATTAATAGCATGTGGAAATTAGCCCAGTACTCTCAAATGGATCTAATTTTATGATTCCTTGGTACTTCTCTACATACAAAGAAAAATCTGACCTTTCTCAACTCAAACATAACCCTCTATTTTCATGTCCTTTTATAATGAGGTCTCTTGAGGAAGAAAAGGGATATTGACAGAAGCCATTTATTTGTATGAATTTGTTAAAAACAGGTTTCCTTTTTTAGCTCTTGACCACACATTATTTAATGTGGTCTGTTTCACTTATGGGGAACTCGTGCCTACCGTCCCTGTCCTATTGTTTCTTTCTTTTTTCTTATTCGCATCCATTTCATATATTTATAACCATGTTTATACTTATACCTGTTATCTAATAATTGTTTAACTAAATAAACAAACATACAAACAAATAAATAAATAAAGTTGAAGTCCACAAGTCTTAAAGTGACCAAGGTTGGAGACCCCTGAACTAAACTAAACTAAACTAAACTCCCTTGGAAATGATGCATCTCATGGCAATATTGAGGGTTTTAAAGCGCTCTTCAAACTTAGCAACTTGTTGACTTCAATTCCCAGAATTCTCCAGCCAGCATTCTGGGAGTTGAAGTCCACAAGTGGTCAAGTGGTCAAGTTTGAAAGCCCCCTGTTTAAAATGCAAGCAGAGTCTTGGAAAATAGCACTGGTTGGTTTCATTCCTAGGTATAAGGGCTATGTTAAAAAGCCTCTTAATGAATCTCAGATTAAATTACTTTAGGCCAGCCTCTTTCCCCTTGCCATTTTATCCCACAGAATCAATTATTAATAGGGAAACCCTAGTACTATATCAATACATACATTAATTAAATTACAACTCCTTTACAGCACTCCCAACACAAGTTCGGGCCACAGATGTGATCTAATTGGAAAATCACGTAAGGACTCATTTTGCGGGGAAGAGAAAATGAAGTCAACATATTCTAAGGTCTTGATTATTTTCTAAAGCCAAAGATAAATATATAACTTATCAGAATTAAGTATTTTCCAACTACTAGTAGTATAATCCTGCCCATTATCACTTGATTGAGATGGGCAGATATAGGAATTGAACAAACAAATAAAACTAACATAAATAAGTAGTATAAGCAGTAATTGGGGGAAATTAACAAACATTACTGCAGAAAAACAAGAACATTCACAGAACCCAAAGACGGTTTGTGGTAACAGCCTTAGGGGAGGGAAGATTTTTTTTTAAGGATGGTTCTATAGGACTGCTCCCTGTTTTTTTTTTTTTTTTTGCTTTTCTTTTCTGAGATTTTTCAGACAAAGCCGTCGATAATAATCTTCCTATATTGATGAATTTGCCTTGCAGCCAATGGTTATTAATACTGAATTACATGTGAGTTTGCTTGTTATTTGTGTCGGAAACACCAAGGCCCTTCTAGGTTGAAAGGATTAGCCAGTGACATCACTGCTGCCCAGGGATGCCCAGTTAGAAGCTCCTTTCATGTCCTTATTAGTATGCTCACTGAAGTGGGCATATCTATCTATCTATTTGTAATTACTCACTTTTGAACTGCTAGGTCAGTAGAGCTGGAGCGAAGGATAGGAGCTCGCCCTGTCATGCAGCAGCTTTCGGGACTCGAACACTGGATTTCATATTGTCAACACAGCATACCTAATAACTATGTAAGCCACTGTGCTCCTCACATGAGAGTACCTCAACTTCACTGCAATATTTCTGCACAGAAGATCCCAAGATAAGCACCTGAGATAGATTAGGATGGTGAGTTGTATGCGTTACTTAGCAACAGCTTCGGACAGTCACTGTTCGTAGTTACAACAATGATGAAACACTAACTTTGTGACCAATGCCTGTGTTTATGACCTTCATAGCATATCTCTGTCATGCATTCACAAGTCAAAATACATTGACCTGTGAGGGGTCCTTAGGGCTCTCTGAGCTTGGTGGTTTTCTTGCAGATGTTTCATGGCCCAAAATAGGTAACATCGTCAGCACTAGCCTGATGATATTACCTAGACTGGGTTATGAAATGTCTGCAAGAAAACCACCAAGCTCAGAGAGCCCAAAGGACCCCTCATTTCAACCCTGAGCTACAAAATATTCTCCTTTATCAGTACATTGTCCTGTGTGAAAACATGATAGTTGTGGTCATGTCATTTTTATCTTAGCGACTATTTGCTGACTGAATTGTGCTCACTTATACTATGGACATTACAGATAGTAGCTATCTGTAGTAGATACAGTGGTAGGGAGTGTTTGCCCATAGGTATTTCCATAACCATTTTTTTCTAAAATGTGAGTGGCAACAACAGTGCTGAAGCATGGAAACTATGCATAACAGAGTGGAATATAGTATATAACGACAGGTAAGTACTGCAAAGCATATACTTACAAGGATATCTGCCATCTGCAGCCCACATAGAAATAAAATATATGTTATTACAATCAAAACATAGTCTCTGTTTCTCTTATTATTTTAGGAAGAAAATGCCACTTTCAGTATATTCTTTTAACACATTCAGCTGTTACAATCCACATGACAGTAGCAGGCATGCACTGAACCCATTTTCAGCATCTCCAAGAAAGTGAAGCATTAACTCACTTTCATCAGCCTCCTTCACCCAAGGTCTCCATTGGAAACGGATAAAGGATTTCTTGCTTAGACTAAGATTTAGCTTGAGCAACAACTACTTATCCTTATTTATCCTTCTTTTCAGCTTGGTCATCCCTCCTTTATGTAGTATGGTTACCACTTGCTTCACTGAATGAGACAACTTGGTACAGCCAATTCTTTGCAGCCAGCTTGCGGTGGGACAATTCGCCATGGTTGAGTTGGCCATGGTGAGTTGTCCTAGATCTTCAAGGAGTATCTTTCATTCCTACATGCTAAATATCCTTTAATTGCACCTAATTAAACGAAAGGGCATTTCCATAATTTACTTTTCCATTTTTCTTGAACTGCAATGAATTCTGTATTTATAACATACAGTTGTGAATTATTGCTGTTTTATTGTTCCTAGTAATGTTTTCAGGGTTAGCTAGCCAATGATGCCATTAAAGTTAATTATCATTTAACCCATCTGGAGTTCAGAATCATATATCAAGGTTGGGGTTAATCAGGTAGTTTCAATATAAAGAACCCAGCCTTCTAATACTGCATTTCCCATATGAAAATAAACAGGAAATAGTGTGTGAATTTAAAACATACACATACAATAATAGCAAACTGATACCTTCCCATAAGTAACCAGCTGCAAGAAACAACTATATATGTCACATTATCAGGATACATATCCATTTTGGGTGACAGATTTTAATCAAAAACATATTCAATGACATGTTGTCCATTAAAAAAAGTCAAATACTCTGCTTAATAAATCCTGGATTGAACTTGTATTGATTTATTAAGTTAGATTTACTGTTCCCCTAGTAAAGCCAGCCATTCTACAGCAACCACTGCGTGCCATCAAGATATGAATATAACTCCATTACAAATGAAACACAGAGAGATAACACACAAATTTCTGTCACTGCTTATCTTCAGGAGAAGCAAGGGAATCATGAAAAAATGTTTTCCTACCAATCCCTTCCCCAATACTCAGTTTAAAGAAGAAGAAAAAACACCAAAGCACTTTAAACCTCCTATCAACACCTTTGTAAATCAGCATGTGTAAAATATACAGGAAACTGTTAGTTTTGATAGGCTGCTGTGATATGTTCCCATTCAAATTATAGTCCCTGGGAAGAGGGGATAAGTAGTGTGCAAGCATGTCATGACAGCGGAGGAAGCAAATATACAACAGCTACTACAACTAGACATGACACTTTGTGACCTTATGACCTGCCATACTGGCAGAGACCTCCCAAGGGCTTCGTGAGGTCATAGAGCAGGCCCTCGCTCTAACTAGAGGCATGACCTCAGATCAACCACCCACGAACTGCCAAAGGTTCACTTCATTAATGGATCAAAAGAGAGAGAGAGAGAGAGAAATACCGAAGAAAAATATGTAGAGTGAGAAAGAAAAGTTCTAATTTTTATTCAGGGCATATTTTAAACAGGTCTCAAGGGACCCAAACAGAAAGCCAGTAAGCACACAACTCCACAAAGGCATTTAGAAAAGGACATCTAAAGCAATAAAGATCTTATAATTTAGAAGTCTAACTCCTGAATATTTGATGTAATTGTTTTACTAGAAAGGAGGTCGTGTGGCTGCAAAAACTGAGGGAAAGCAAAATCTCCACAAATTGTGATTGGATTTTCATGTCTAGTTTAAGGAAGACTAGGGGAGACATGATAGCACTTCCAATATCTCAGGGGCTGCCACAAAGAAGAGGGAGTCAAGCTATTCTCCAAAGCACCTGAGGGAAGGACAAGAAGCAACGGGTGGAAACTAACCAAGGAGAGAAGCAACCTGGAACTAAGGAGAAATTTATTGACAGTGAGAACGATTAATCAGTGGAACAGCTTTCCCCCGAAGTTGTAAATGCTCCAACACTGGAAGTTATTAAGAAGAGATTAGACAGCCATTTGTCTGAAATGGTATAGGCAAGGGTGGGATTCTACCAGATCGCACCTATTTGCTAGAACTGGTTGTTAACATCCTAAGCAGTTCGGAGAAAACGGTTGTTAGAAGAAATTCCTGGCCTAATCCTGTAAGGAAGGCAGGAAGGAAACATTCTGGTATTGCTTAGGGAAACTGCCTCTCCGTTAACCTTTATTACATTCTTGGCAGGAATAAATTTCCTGTCTCAGGAACGTCTCTGGAGTTTCCCCCCCCCACCTCCTTTGGTACTTTGCTTGTGTGGAGTGACTATTCAAAGTTACAATGGCACTGAAAAAAGTGACTTATGACCATTTTTCACACTTACAACTGTTGCAGCTTCTCCACAGTCATGAGAGGCCAGGCAAGGAGATGCGTGCCTCAATGTGAGTGATATTGAGTTGGCCATGCCCAGCCAATAACATGACCACCAAGCCACGCTCACCCAGTCACATGACCACCAAGCTACGCCCACCAACTAAGCCTGAAATGGTATAGGGTATCCTACCTGAGCAGGGGGTTGGACTAGAAGACCTCCAAGGTCCCTTCCAACTCTGTTAATTCTGGATTGAAAGTGAAGCGGATAAGTGCATTATCAACACACACACACACACACACACACACACACACACACGGTGGGTCTGTTTATTAGTCTCTCACTTCTGGGACAAAAAAAGGGGAAATCACATAAATATCTGGTGACTGCATGTCATGTATTGCAGGCACGTTTCTCCAACATTTCCTGGAAATTCAAAACTCTGACATTTCATCGTTAAGCATAATTCTCTCTGGTGCGGGGAAAGCAACCTGAAGGATAATGATCATATTCATAAGCTGAGTAAGGTGAGCTGATAAAACAAATTAAGGTGCTGTCCGAAAGAATGAGATTGAAACCCACGATTACTCGTTTTTCATACTCTTCTTACAATGTAATGGAAAAATCCTTTTATGATGTTCTGATGGGACATGCTATCTTCTTCTGGCCTCCTTATCAGCTCCGCCACGAACTTGTGAAAAAGTTTATGTTGTACACAGGCGTGGGATCTGATGGGTGTAACTACTGGTTCGGTGATTTTTACGTTTTGCTGATTTGAAATTTCTGCTGTGCAAAAATCTAACTGGAGAGCATGGTTGATGGATGACTCTTGGCTATGGATGTGTCCCATTGGAGAATATGAATTATGATACACCCAGAGGGTGGGGGGGAAAACCAGGGTCAAGGGTGACAATGAATGATGTGTCTCAGAGTTGGCTACACCCAGGCAGCGCTGGCATGTTTACTCCTAATAAATCTTCTTTAAGTTTTGAAAATCCGGCTAGAGACTCATGATTTAAATAGGGGCAACTACCAGAGCCCTGACATTTAACAGATGTCTCACTTAATAACTTGGGCTCAATTGCAGATGTAAGTCGAGGACTACTGTACTATGAAAGAATGGCATCAGCATGGTTGTGACCAGGTCCCAACAATCGTCAAAACTATCAATCATGGCAGACATAATAGCCTTTTTTAAGCTGACACTTCACATCAATAAGCAGCCATCCTTTCATCAATAGAGTGTCTGCTTGGGTTAATATAGCCACATCACCCCAAAACACAAAATAAGAGACCTGTTAAAGAGTCAACATACTTACCCGACCACAAGAACACACGAGACGTGGTGCCTCTGTCAGTATTTGAAGTGGCCATTTCAAGCTGTTGCAGCTAATCACAAACGTTGCCAGGCTAAACTACTGCAATTTTTTGAAAATGTTTAGTGAGGGTTAGAAGCAATCAGGTTTAAATTAAGCAAAAAGCAGTGTTAGCGAAGTTATTCACATCACGCCATAGACAATAAGGAGGATAGTTAGATTAATTGTACCTTAGGTTTTTAATTATGTACTGCAAAAGTTTATTTTCCCATGTTATTTTTTCTTTTTAAATCACTGGCTGAAGCACCATTACTTACAATTACATAATGCCCAATTGCTGTGCTACAGCAACAATATTATTCAACTAATTTCTTTAAATTATGTCAGACAATATTGAGTGTTTACAATAATGAAAGAATCCAATCAAATAAACATCATGGCCAAATCAAAACTGTTTGCTCTTGGGCTAGTGGAACATGTAAATTATTTGTTAACCCAAAGAGTAGACTTGGATATTGTACATTCCTCAACATAATATTATTTTGTGTGACTCTTAAGCTTCCCATTAAAGAGTCCATAAATAAGTTTTAGGTTTGCCCAGTGGATATTTCTATTTGCTCAAACCCCATGCCTTATTGAACTATCCAGTCTAAGATCTATAATTACTGAAGTAGCCTTGAAAAGCTCTACTATCATTTCTAAGATAGGCATCAATTACTTCTAACCCACTCCTGAGTTAACTAATGGTATCAATTAGGCTCTGTTGGGTTTTTTGCTATAGATATATGCATTAAAAATTCTTCCCTACTCTGCAAATATATGAAAAAAAAAACCTGTGTGGTTATTTATTTGATTCCTATCACACTTCATTCAGGAGCCTCTTCTTCATAACTGTCATGCCCCTGTCGGAATCTGATTCGGAGGGGGAAACTGAGCAGCTGACAGGGAATGGGAGTGTGGCTCCGTTGGCTGTGGAAGAAACTGGCGAAGGGCAAGCCCAGCTGGGCAGAGCAGGGGAAAGGTAGAGCAAGGGAGAGGGAATTCGGAGAAAGACTCAGGGCCACCACCCCCTCTTCATCCTAGGGCATGCAGGGAGGAACGGAAAAGGGAGCAACATGAGTTGTGTGGCTTATGGGGGAGGAAAGGGCCCTGATTCTCTTCAATAGCTGCAGCTGGGAACACAGTGTTTAAAAAGGGAAGCTACGCACAGAGAAGTTGTTGGAAGCAAATTGTGAATTATCTGGTATCGTGGAGGATTATCTGGGTTCCTGGCGTCTTCCCAACTGTGTGTGTTTGGCTGTGCTTTCAAGACTGCAATTCCTTCTCCTGCCCTGTCAAGTTAATTACTGCAACATGGTTTGTTTGAATTTTTAGTTACAGTTTGCATGTACTTAGTTTTCATACTGAATTTTCTTCATTTAAAGGCTGTTCCTGAGAGAGGTTTTCTCCAGCCAAAGATAACCTAAACTTTGGGGGCAGAGTTGGAGATAATTAAAGAGACTCTTCTTGCTTATTTGACTTTGTTGCCTTTGTGCCACGCCCCTTTGGGTCATCACAGTAACTTTCCCCACAATGCTGTGCGGTGAGTTGAGCTGAGAGAAAGGAACTGGCTCTAAACCCTCAAAACAGCATGTTGTGTTAAGGTAGGACTAAAATATGGGTCTTCCTATTCCTACAAGTAGGTCCTTGACTTAAATCCATTGGTTTAGTGCCTGTTCAAAGTCACAATGGCACTGAAAATAGTGACCTATACGGTTTTCCACATCTATGACTGTGATAGCATTCCTATGGTCACACAGTCAAAATTTGGATGCTTGGCAACTGGCATGTACTTATGACGGTTGCAGCATCCCATGGTCATGTGATCCCTATTTGTGACCTTCTGACAAGCAAAGTCAATGGGGAAGCCAGATTCACTTAACAACTGTGATGACCCAGGGTGGGATACAAAATAAACACAGTCACAAAAAACAGGTGAAGCCCCTTTTATTCCTTCACTTTTCTTCCAAGCTCCAAATATCCTTGACTGGAGACAAAAAAAAACTCCCATGCAAGCAGTTACAAAAGGGAGGAAATGCCGTTTAAATTATAAAGAGTAAAAAACAACACAAACCAGGCAAGATAAGGGCTTGAAGATGTCTACAGATATCAGAACACATACTGGGAAGGACGTCAAACTCAGAGAGGAACAATAAACTAAAGATATTTCCATGCTTTGTTTCCAGTGCTCGCCAGTATGCATGTCCGTCCTGTTATCCAGTTGTCACAGCTGCAGCCCATGAAGAGGATCAAGGCCCTCTCCTCCCCAGTAGACCATGTGTCTCCCTTATCCTCTCCTCCCTGCGTGCCCTAGGATGCAGAGGGGATGGGCCTGGGTCCTCCTCTGACTGCCCAGCCGGCCTCTGCCCTTCCCCAGCCTCCTCCACAATCTCCGGAGCCATACCTCCACTCCCTGTCAGCTGTTCCTCCTCTCCCTCAGAGTCAGTCTCCACCAGGGGCATGACATTAATCATGTGACCAACTTAACAAGTGCACTGAACAACTGTGGCAAGGAAGCTTGTAAAATAGGACAACTGTCTTAACACTTAACAACCGTCTTGCTTGGCAACATAAATTTGTGCCAAGTTATGGTTGTAAATTGAGGGCTACCCATAGCCTGTTACACCATAGTTATATAGGAGAATTTGAAAGCTCTGTTATAGTGAAATTTTTAAGGTGTCATTTTTTCATATGTGATTATGCATGCATTCAAATTATCCAGTCTTTATCAGGCTACTGTGTAATTTTTAAAACGGCAACGATTAACATTGGACATTAGTTACATATTATGAGCATATCAACCTTGTTGCTAATTGTGGTATGCCTAAACTAACTCACAGAGTATTTGCAACAGCAGGGTGTATCTATTCCATTGTGCTTGTTTCTGCACAACTCAGAAGTTCATACAGTTTTATCTTAGCAAAACAAGAACTTTTATTACAATCTATGGGTGTTTATAGTATTACACCTAAGAAGTGGTGACTGGGATCTCCAATGAGGAGCATACCAAAGTTAAAGGTGTGTGTGTGTGTGTGTGTGTCATATGAAAAGTATTTATTTGCAACTATATTTTCTTACACAAGGCAGTCTGTAGAAGCAGCTCCGAATTTGGGTGGGTGAGAAATCCATGGCTCAAATACAAAAGTAGAAAAAAAAAGCGGTAGTTTTGGCTTCATCGCAATCTTTAATTTTGTTTTAATACTCATTCTTAACATTTGCAGAAATCCATGTATAGCTTATTCTATAACAGTATTTTTCAAACTCTTTTAAGTGGATTCCAACTCCCAGAATTCTCCAGACAGCAGGGGAATCTAACCATTGTTCAAAACTATGCTTTCCTTGCAGCTTAAGAGTGCTACTTTATCTTACGTTAAGGGTGTGTGTAGAAGGCTACTTTGGTTTATAATGTGTTAACAGGCCTTTATTTGGGGTATGATTTGAAAATCCAGTCCAAATAATGGTTTATTGACCCAAGTTGACTGGAGGAAACCTAAGAGATACATAGTAATCATTATGAACAGTAAACAAAAACTCCCCCCCCCCTTAAGTAGATTAAACTGCAAACTTGAAACATAATTTCATTGTTTCCTTATATGAAAAGATACATCCACAAAAGTAAAGTAAAATGTAGCTGAAAATAGGAAGGAGATCGTTATAAGTTACTGGGGTCAAAGCATGCTGTGGACAGACTTTCTCTTAAGACTTTTATTAGTGATTTTTCATACTGAAAGGACAGCAAGAAATGTAAACAAGCAATAGCAGAATTTGCATTTCAGGGACAGCCAGAGTTCTGCAGCCACCTTTTCAAGTCACTTATGAAGCTGCCAAGTGCCTCAAGCAAAAGACAAAAATAGCTACAAGTCAAGGAAGACTTATTGACTGACGGGGGTCAAGGAAGGTAAAATTGTAAGGAGGAGAGAAACGTTTGTGTAGAGAAAGAGAAAAATCAATAAGAGAGAGAAGTATTGGGAGATCAAATCACAGAATCAGAGAAAATTCTTGGAAAATAGATTGGGAAAATAATTAAAGAAAGTTGGAATATAATAAGAAAAACAGCAGAAGTCAAGGACAAAAATGGGGTAAGCTAAGATTGCTGTAATTTTCCCCATTTGGGCTTTGCTCAGATCAAACTGAAAATCTCCCTCTGTCTGGACACTTGATGAGTTGTGATCAGAAAAATGCAGCACTTGCTAGAGACGGAGGTTTCACTTCTGCCTTATGTTGACTACAATAGATAATATGCATTAAGCTCTTCCAAAATGTTCTGTAAAACTAGGGTTTAATCCCAATCTTGGTGACCAATCAAAATCGTTCCATTATGTCTAGGATCTCACTGAAATGCCTTGAGGATAGCATTTTAATCCAGGTTAGAGAAGTTCTGCTTTTAAACCAATCATTGCTTATAAGAAGCATACCTCTCTAAGCAGAAAGTTCAGGTTTCCTCATTATGGCTTTTAGCCACATAGGCAACACAGAAGGAAAGTTTAGAAACACCTAGCATTTTTTGAATCACTTGTTCTTATGTCTACAGTACCTGCATGATACTTATCTATACAGAAAAGAGAATTTTAGATGTTTTCTCAGGGCAAGATTGCCTATGTCAGATATATATATAAGATTGCAAATGTCATATAGAAACATCGCTTAATAGGAAAAGATACACACACATATGTATACACATACATACATATATGGCATTCAGCTTTGTTCAGGTACACATATACATACATATATGTATATAGATAGGGGTGTGTGTGTGTGTGTGTGTGTGTGTGGTATTCAGCTTTGTTCAGGTATTTTCCCACGTCATTATAGTTGTGCTTTTAAAGTTGTAGCAACGTTTCGGCAGAATCCGAACAGAATTGTACACAACTGTATACAGAATTGTACACAATACAGAAGCCTGATGATGGCAGATGAGATTCTGCCCGAAATGTTGCTACAACTTTAAAAGCACAACTATAAGGATGTGGGAAAATACCTGAACAAAGCTGAATACCATTCATGTAAGTACCCGCGAAAACTTAACACACACACACACACACACACACACATATACACACACACATATACATACATATACACATGTAATGCGTATATATATATATATATACACACACACACACACACACACACACATGCATACATGAAGGTAGGATGGATGGATGGATGGATAGATAGATAGATAGATAGATAGATAGATAGATAGATAGATAGATAGATAGATAGATAATCTTTTCCCATTAAGTGATGACTGCACCAAAAAGGTCAGCAAAGCCCTCTTCCAAAATTCCTATTTTTTCATTCCTATTATTTAAATTTACTGCCCAACTATAAATACATGTGTATATTGCCAGACTGCTAGGAAATCTATCTTGAGTTCCACAGGGCAAAGTCTTAATCTTTCCCGTCTTTTCAGAAGCGGGGGTGGAGGGAGAGGAAAACAAAGAGATCTGGCCCAAAGTGAGCCCTTCCAGCCCAGGAAGGGGGAAGCAAAGCTTGGAAAAGGATCCCCCAAAATTAAATGATCAAGGGGACCAGGCAAAAGTTTTTGGGTAAGACTTTAATTTATTATTTTTTTTACATTTTATAAAGGTCATTAAAAAAACACAAATACTTTCAACTGCAGCCTTTTCAACTGTTGCGGGAAGGGCTGGTTCTTTCTGGGAGCGACGAAGCGAAGGGTGGAAAAAAAAAACAGAGTGCAAGCAGGAAAGAGGATGAGAAACGGGGCAGGCGCACAGACTACAACTCCCAGAGTTCCCCGTCAGGCCGTCCAGCGCTTCAGGCGAGAGAAAAGAGCGGAGGGTAGGGGAAGAAGGGCTCGCGGGGCATGCTGGGAGTTGGAGTTCCGAGCTTTCCGCGGCACAAGCGACCAAGGGAAGGCTAGCGAGACAGCGGAGAGACAACGCAGAGAGGGGGAAAGAGAAGTCAGACCTGAGCGCTTGGAGCGGGCCCTCAGCTCCAGCATTTTCCAGCTCACATCGGCCAGAGAAGACGCCATGGCGGCGGGAGGAGGAGGAAGAGAAGCGGCCCACTCAAAACTCCGCCCGAAGCGACTGGGCTGAAAAGGCCCAGCCGCTTTAACCCCGCCCCCTTGTCAGTAACTCAACGGTTGCTAGGCTCCGCCGTAAATACACACCTGCTTCCCTCCGCGCAGGCGTGCTGAGGCGCCGCCGTAAAGCGAACCCGGAAGTCGCGCGGCCCTGGCGGCGGTGCTGGCTGCCCAGGAACCGGCTGGAGTTGACGGCCCGCTATGGGGGGACCCTGCCGCCCCGCCCTGGTTCGGTGTGGCCGGTCCTCGCTGCTATGGCCGTCGCCGCTGCTGCTGCTGCTGGTGACGGCCGGGGCGTTGCTGAAGCCCGGCCGAGCCTTGCAGAATGTCACCTCGCAGCTCTTCGGGGCCGAGGCTTTCGGGACGCTGGCCGCCTTCGGGGACTTCAACTCCGACAAGCAGACCGACCTCTTCGTGCTGAGGAGAGGTGAGAAGAAGAGGCCGAGGCTTGCTGAGGAGTTGCCGGGGGCCTCGCTCTATCTAATCCAGGGGTCTCCAACCTTGGCCACTTTAAGACTTGTGGACTTCAACTCCCAGAATTCCTCAGCCAGCAAAGCTGGCTGAGG